CTGACCTACACTTAGGACAAATATGTATACATAAGCTGGGCCTTGAAACCCAACATATTCAGTCAGTAATAATTAGTGTAGACCACAATACAATGCAATTTTACAGGTGCTGGAACATTAAGCAGACATGCAATATTTCACTGCTACTTCTATCCACTGAAATGCCCCAGCTATTCTCTACATTATATAAAGATGTTTTGGATGTGTCTATACAAGCAGAATAGGAAAGCACATTAACAGTGCACTCAACCCAACTACAAAGTTCACTTCTGTACAAGAAGGCGGCCTTCAAATTATAAAGTGAAATTTCTCAATGACTTGCTGACCAGCATTTAACTTTTTCTTGTCATGCTATATAAGATGCCTAAATACACACAACTATCCTTATTGAGCATCATCCATTTTTTTATCCCCATAAGCACTGAGTGATAACTTTAAAATGTCAGTCTTTCAGAAAATAATAAGCACTAATTTATAAAATGTACTTTGGAAATCACCATTCCAAATATTTTTAATGACTCTGATAATCAATTGCATTTGATTTATTTGAATGAGTTGAATATATAAGTTTCTGAGAAAAATTTTTAAAAGGGAAAAAATTTTCTAATTCACCAAAACACAATCAACCCTATGGGGCTTAATGTAGCACCAAGACTATAATGCACAATGCACATGCTCTTTCTACTTATATAGATTTTACATACAAACCTTCTCAGTATTCAGGAAGGGATTATGTTTAAGAGAATAATTCTACTTGGTTAAATCTAAGAGCATATTCCCTAACTGTGACAGCATCGAGAGGGCCAATTAAGTCTCCTTTTTCAGTGTCTCCATGGCCCACCAATCCCTCCATTCTCTGGTCCTTTGACCACTTCCCTCTGCAGTTTTGTGAGACAGAGTTGGCCCAGGTTGGCCAGCCAATCATGATTTTCTTGCCAGGGCCTCCTGGCTACTAGAATTATAAGTGTAAGCAACTGTGCCTGAGTGTTCTTTTTATTTTTAATCAAGTTTCAATAAAATCTTCTTGGGATGACAAGATATAGTTATAAACCAATAAAAAAATTGTACTTAAGGTTTAATTCTGAAGGAATAATCTCAAAGTCGCTTCACTGTAACTTCCATATTATACCTGTTACCAAAGAGCCACATGATTAGTAACACTGACCTTCTTTCAGCAGAATGTTTCTGACTTTTTCTGATTGTTTGTAGCCCAAAGATGGGGTATCTTGGGGCTGGAACTCAAGCCTAACTATGAAATTCATTTGTTTCATGCACAAACTATAATATAACTATAGTCTAACTATAATTTTATGTAATAATTAACAATTTTGTGCATGAAACAAAGTTACATGCTAGCATTCAAAGTTTCAGATTTCAGATTTTCACACTAAGAATCCTCACACCATAGCCAGATCACTGAGACCTAGCCTTTATACAATAGGATGCAGAGACCTGTCCGTAGAGGTGAAATTCTTGCTAGAAAGCAGACAGAATGGAAGTTAAAAAAAAAAAAAAACAGCTCTACCATTTCTGAATAACAGAAAACTGCCTAAAAGATGAAAACACTTTAAAAAGAGGTAAGACATAAATATGCTACATAAAACTAGGTGTGTCCATGTTCTAGAGATCTCAGCACAAGCTGAAAGCTGCTGTCAACGATTTAAAGCATTTTTGCAAGAATATGGATAGGCTAACTCACTTTCTTCAGAAGTTCAACAGACAACAGACTGCATACAGATAGCAACTCTACGCTCACTAAGACATGCAATTAATACTGCCTAAGAGTCCAAGTGATCCATCAAAGTCCTGAACAAAACAGCCTGTAGCACACAGAGTAATAGCAAAGAGGGGATACTTTCCAGAAAGAGTACACTGTCATTTTCTTTAAAAAAAAAAAAAAATTACACCCCCCTCCAATCTAAGTAATAATATTGTCTTAGAAGAAATGAAATACAGTATTAGCCAGTTCACAAGGAATGCACAAATTAAAAAAAAAAAAAAAAAAAATTTTTT